CCCCCACCCGGCCCCCCCCCCCCCAAGGCGATCTCCTGCCTGGAGACTGCCCCGCCCTACACGGCCCCCCTCCCGCATCCCCTTCCCCCTGAAGAAGGGAGCCGTGACTCAGGAAAGCCCTCCACGCAGTGCGTTGGCCTTGAAGGGGCGAGTGGACACTTGTGGAAAGCCCCTACGTGGTTACTCAGAAGCGAGAAGAACCTCCGTGCTGTTCCGCGGGGTTTACTCCCACTCGCACCCTGAGTGCAGATGGGAAAGTGCAAAGCACACACTTCTAGGGTTGCCAACGGGCCTGGAGTAAGATGTCCTGCCCCCCTTTTAACCTGTGGAAAGGGCAGCTGAAGCTTTTCGTAGCGTGGAGGTGAATAAACACCACTTTTTGAACCATTATAAATGGGACAGGACGTTTTCCTCCAAGTCAGTTAGCATCCCTGTGGATTTCCAAAGTCCTGATTTATTCTTTCCAGTCTTTTTCCAGCTAGTTTAGCTCCTTGGAGAAATCATGCTTTTTTTCTCATGGCCCTTTCTGGAAAGGGGCAAAACTTTAGAATCTCAGAGAGGAATACTCCTGTAGATGTAGCAAATAAGACAGACCAAGATGGAGGGAGCCTATGGCTGATTCTTCTTCTTTGCATTGCCTGCCACTTCAGTCAGTATCTGTTCTTCACAGAGTACTTTGGGCTCTCTTCTGGTTGCCTCCCCTGGTTACAGATGGGGGACTGGGGTTCCTACCCATTGTTTAGCACACTTGCCTTGGATTTGGATGCAATGGGTCAGCTGCTAATACTTCCTCATTCAGGACACAAGTTTTTTAAAAAGGTGATGAAATAAGGCAAAAAAGCTACCTCTCTTCAATTAAAAATTCCCAAGCGGCTGTATTTCATTTGCCAGTGGTTTGTGGGATGAAGAACATACGGGAGGAAGAGAAAGAAATTACTCTGACTAGTGCCAGCAGGTTGTTAGTATACAGAAGTATTATGAAACCTCTCTTCTGGAAATCCACTTCCAGTCACAATACCCTGCTTCCTCTTGCTCATCTCAGTCATCACATTGTCTATGACATTGGATCAGAGTTGCAGAAACCAACAGGTGTGTTGAAAAGACTGTTCATAAGCCTGGGCTGGCATAACTCCCCACCAAGTTGGCCTCAGCCCATCAGCCATAGGTGGTGGCCCCACGATGGGGGGGGGGCTGAAGAAGCTTCAAGTGTTATGTTAGGCACTGCCTAGGACTGTGCATATAGGAAGGGATGTGATCAAGCATCTGGCAGGCCCAGAGCCAAAATGGCTGGACTGTGTTCAGCTAGGTGGGTCACACAAATAAATAGTTCAGACCAGTAGTAGAAGAAGAAGAGTTGGTTTTATACCCCACTCTTCACTACCTGAAGGAGTCTCAAAGTGTCTTACAATCACCTTCCCTTCCTCTCCCCACAACAGTCACCCTGTGAGGTAGGTGGGGCTGAGAGAGTTCTGAGAGAAATGCACTTGAGAGAACAGCTCTGAGAGAAACGGTGACTGACCCAAGGTTAACTGGCAGAGTTCATATGGAGGAGTGGGGAATCAAACCCGATTCTCCAGATTAGAGTCCGCCACTCTTAACCACTACACCAAAGTGACTCTCAAAGACCGATCATCACACATAAACTGAACAAGAAATGGTTACTCATATGCCAAGATCCTGCCCTTCACATGAGTTATGGATAAGCCTCATGTTCGGCAGAATTTACTTCCATGTAGTTCTTGTGTAGGGCGGCAGTGGCTCAGAGGTTAAGATGCTGAAGATGCAGACTGGAAGATCTGTAGCTCAGCCGTTTCAAGACCCTAGTGCCAGGTGACGGAGTTGAGCTCCCATCTGTGCCCCCAGCTCCTGCCAACCTAGCAGTTCGAAAGCAAGAAATTGCAAGTAGATAAATAGGTGCCACTTTGGTGGGAAGGTAACAGCGTTCCATGCACCTCGGTCTTTAGTCATGCCGGCCACATGACCACAGAAACGTCTTTGAACAGCGCTGGCTCTTTGGCTTGGAAACGGAGATGAGCACCGTAACCCTAGAGTCAGATTTGACTGGCTTTCGGGCAAGGGAAACCTTTACCTTTACTACTTCTTCTCAGGATCATGAGATACACTATAAGTAGTTTCCTCAGATGGGAAACTCTGCAAAACTTGAGGAATGACACTCCAAGATTTGAAATTATCCCACCCTCTTCTATGTAAATCAGCTTACAGTCAAAGCCTGGTGAATACATTCAGGATTGGGATATATGTGTGCATGAAAGAATGAAGCACAAAACATTTACAGAAACCCATTCAGCATGTGTGTGTGTGTGTGTATGAGGTAATCCTAAACAAATGTACTTGCAGAGTTATGAAACTTATTTCCTATTAAATGTGTTTAGGATTACAACCATAACCCTTGCAACATTTTGAACATCATGTGCCACTTGATACCATGTATACCCACTTAGAAATATGCCCCATTTTGTTGAATGGGACTTATTCCCATGTAACAGTTGCCCTACAGAACAATGCAATCCCTTATCTACCCAAGCTGTAGGCTCTGAAGAGAGAGAGGGACGTGTATTCAAGAGAGCAGATGTGGAGGCTTGCCCACCACACGTCCAATGCTCTTGAATGATGACGTTCTTCTGTATTTCCATGCATAGCAAAACCATTACTGGAAAGTGGGTGGCTGGAAGTGGGTGTTAGAGAGGCAAAGACCCAGGGAGGAAAGGGTTAACTATTTTTTTCCCCTTTATGAGTCATTGCTCCTCTTCCTTTCACCCCCCTCCCCTGTAAGTAAGCTGCCCCATGCTTGCTGTGAGGCGTGTGTGAGGTGCAGCCATCCTTGCGTCAGACCAGTGCAAACAAATGACACTTGGAAGAGGTGGGCTAGACTATTTAAGGGGCAGTGTTCGAGGGCTCAAGTACAACCAAGCAACTTTCTGTTCTCACCCATCTACAACAGGAACGCACATCTCCTTTAAAAGGTAGGATGCAATTGCACAGAGAAATTCTAACCTTTGGGGTGGGGATGGTGAATTTGTTAGTGGCCAGATGCCTTCTTGACTTATTTCATGTAGTCATGCACTGAAATTCCCTCTAAGGTTGTAAGGGGGAAAAAATCAGCTGTGATGTTCAGTATTGTTGAAGGGAGTTCCGTGAGCATCTCTAGCTTAAATTGCTTTTCTTAATCTTTTGCTAACATGTAAGATGTTTATTGAAGAGACTTCCTGGAGAACAAAATTGAATTTTGTGTTGCTGTTGCTTTATAATTAAGAATCTAGCTGTATTTTGTTAGCCAACCCCTGCTGCACTGTATGGGAAAGTTAAGGGAATTTGCATAGAGAGATGAATTTTTTTTTAAGAGGAAGAATTTAAGTCCTTGACTTTAATGATGTTTCTGATTAATGGTTTGCAATATGGAAATGACCACAAGAAAGAGCATTGAAGGATCAGTTTGTTTTTAAATAATGCCATTTAAATGAACAATGTCTACATTACAATATTAGCAGATGAATTCTTTAAGCAACCCCTTTTTGATTCCTGATTGCTAACAGGGAATAGAGCTATTTGATATGAGATAAAATGCTGCACTCTGTTCCTTTTCTGCTTTGAAAGTGTGATATGCTGTAATAATTTTTAACATTTAGAAAGTTTCCAGATTTAAGCATGCCATGGGCTATTTGACATAATACAGCCAAATTCTACTTATTTTGATGCAAATAGCAATAACATGATTGATAGTGCAATCCTCAGAAAACTTAAGTTTGGTCTCTGTCAGTCTCTCCCATTTAAATCAAAGGGACTTAAAAGACCACAGTTTTGGCTGGGCCTTATTTCTCAGATTTTTAGTTAAATATAGGGTATATGCAGTATAGGTATTTAAGATACAGCAAATAGATCCGTACATCTTTCTTTCTCGACACACACACAATTTTATATTTCACACATATGTATATACAACAACCTAAGAACAGTAGAGTAAGGGCATATTTTCAGGATACCTTTAAGTAGCAGATTTACACCTTCCACAGGTTCATCCCAAACAGCGTCCCTCACTTCAAAGACCACTAAAGTCAATGTACTGAAAAGGGTGTAACTCTGTGAATCTACTTATCCAGTAAACAGTCAGCTAAAAGAGTTACGTTTTTTCATTCCCTCTTACCTGTGAATTGGTGATTCTAATCTGCAGTAACAAATATGAATCTGGAACTAGGAAAAGCCCCATCTCTCTCAGATTCATTAACATGGACAGTATAAAGATGTGAGCTGGGTTACATAACATGCTGGCCCACACGCTTGTCTGTAGTACCACTGATATCACAGGCTGTAAAACACTATCAAGTGATAAATGACCACCTCTTTGCTAAAATTAAAAAAACAACCACCATCTTTTCAAAGCAAAACCTGTCACACTTCCGAAAGAGTAAGAAGTGGCTCTTTCATGACCAGGATGTCCCCTGATGTTGCTTTGCCTAAAAATTCAAACACACACACGCATACACGAAGGAAGCAATGAATGCTTGCAGGTCGACACAGAAAGGGCACAGATTCCACCGAACACCCTGGCAATAGATCAGTTAGCTTTAGCTGTGCTGTTTCTTCAGCCTTGACACACAGTTAACCCTATCTCCTCCTTGCATAACACTGAGCCTTTGTTTAGAAAAATCCCACAAAACAAGTTCTTTGTTTTGAAGTGGAGGCGATTTTTGAGATAAGATGGGGCGGCGCACGGCAACCATTGATGGCTTTGACATCCTCACCTCCTTTCCTTCTGCAGCTATGTACGGTGGGATCTGCATCTGCCTCCTCCTGGCTGTCCTGTCCACCAGCTCCTCAGGGCAGCAGCCTTCAGGGTCCCACAATGCCAACCCAGGGATCACCGACTTGGAGCAGACCCTGACGGAGAGCCTCCGGCATGCCCGCACCGCAGCCTCTGGTGGTCCATTGAAAGCACTCCCACAAATGGATGTCAATGCTGACCCCAAGGGCAACTTTGGAGCTGCATTGGCCAAATACTTTCGGCACGCCCAAAGAGGTACTTTTGGAAGCATTTTAGTCCTAAGTGCTCATTTCTTTGGTGTCAAAGGAATTTCCCCTCTAAGACACAACATGTGAATAGATGGTGACTGAAGCTGACCCAGTCTAATCTTTGCATAGGGTTCAGTTGGTAAAGTTCACTGGAGAGGGCTCCCTTTGGCTATATGGAGTCTGTAGCTCAATACATGCAGGGGGCTTATACCTTCAAGACATAGAGGGGTATACAAGTCCAGTCCATCCCCACCATCAGTTCTCCAGCATAGCTAGCCATATCTCATGTGTCCAAATGACCCATCAGTTCTTATGGCCCTCCACTGGGAGTTTAAAGAAATTGACACTATGCTATCTAGGGCTAGTTCTTCCATGAAGAGTACTAAGGTATCACTGTGGATTCCAATGAGATTTTTAGATGAACAGGACTAAGAATGGCATGTATTTTTTGTGTGTGGACATTCTATTGCCACAAAAAAGATTTGTAGTACTATACTAAAATTAACATTTATTCAAGTTTGATGTTCTAACCAAAATCTAATTTCTTAGTTTAATCTTATCTCCTAATTAGCTTTTCTGTCATAAGGACCATGCATATCTCCATAGCTACAAAATTATCTATGTCTCATAGATATTTCACAGTATCATTTTATCTAGATCTCATTATGTTCCCATGGCATGGAATAGTCCCTTGGTTCCAGAATGACTCTGGACTAAAATAGAAATAGGCTGCTTTAGCAAGATTCACAGTGCCATGGCTGTATTTGTACAGAATTCTTAACAGAAGGTTCATAATAACTCTGGAGACCCTCTATACTATAAATCTCATACTTCCCATGGCGGCTAGGCTATGCCCAAGGATGAGAATGTGAAAGAGCAGGTCTCCACACCATACATTTTGCAGACCAGTATGTAATTGATTGATAGGTAAAGGTAAAGGTTTCCCTTGCTCGAAAGCTAGTCAAATCCAACTCTAGGGGGCAGTGCTCATCTCAGTTTCCAAGCCGAAGAGCCAGCACTGTCCAAAGACGTTTCCGTGGTCATGTGGCCGGCATGACTAAATACCGAGGCACATGGAATGATGTTACCTTTCCACCAAAGCGGTACCTATTTATCTACTTGCAATTTCTTGCTTTCGAACTGCTAGGTTTAAAAAGGAGAGATGCAAGCGGATGAATATTCTTTAGGGCCTGCACTGTCTTTTTTTGTCATAACTTTGACATGGAGGTGACAGCCAGCCTGAACTCAACTAACAACACATCTGGCTATTTCTGCATTTGCTACAACCATTTCCTCGAGGGAGATTAACTGCAAGGCAGATGTGGACATGGCTCAGAATCAACAGCTCTTTCCCACCACTTTGAGAGCAGCGGTCGATGCCAGCTTTCCGAGACACCTCTCACTGGTTCGTTCCTTGAAGCAGAGTTAAGCCAAGCAATAGCGCTACTTACTAATCGTTACACAAATGCACAAGGCCTTTCATGCATCAGGGAGCTGTTTGAGACTGGTGCCCTTTGAATGAAGCCCAGCTGCCTGCAGAGGAAGGCATAATGGGTCCAGAGGTGTAAACCAGTCTCTACAGTCGCTGAACATTCACTCTAGGATTGAAGGCAAGTTTAAAAGCATTTAGTCCAACCTTGAGTTTCTCCATTATGTATCTTCCATTCTGATGCAAATCAAAACTTAATGCAATGCAAAAAGTCACTGCTTACAGCTTTCTCCTGTTAAAGGGATTCTTGTAGGAAGCCTAGGAATGGCTCTGGCTTTCCATAAAAACCACTTGGAGGGTGCCACTACTAAGGCAGAAGCTGGGAGCAGGGTACTGCTCCTCTGCTCCTAATTTTCTCTTGTAAATCTCCCCCCCCCTTTAATATCCTTCAATGAGAAGACCACTTGAGGGACAACTTGGATCAGGGTGGGAAAGGGTTCTAACCAGTCCTCTGTCAGCACACCCCCAGAGCAGCTTTGAGAACAAGAATAGCTGTCAGGCCACAGTGACATCTGTTGGCATGCGTGGCATAGCTTGGCCTTGAGCCTTTGGAGAACCTCCATCTGTCAGGGATGAAGCAGTATATTTCATCATGTGTGGAGCATCTTAACATGAGCAAGGCAGTGGTCTGGAAAAGGAGCAGCTAATATCTCAATCTGGGACACACTGAACTGGAAGGAAACGCCCGTTATTTATGTAGAAGTTACTTCCAGAGTGGTGTCTTTATAATGGCATCCTAATCACATTGAGTATCCAAGGTTTGTCCAATTACCCCCAGACTCCTAAATTCACAGCAGGAAGTAAGAAAAGCCGTAAGAACCAAAGTGGGTGAAGGACAAAAGGGAAAAGCTCTAATTGGTTTAAGGAGGACAATTGTCATCAGAACAGCCATTTCCTAGCCTAGCACTTTGTACCTCTAGGGTGAAAGTTTTCCCAGTGGCCTCACTTATAGACATTTGCTCACAAAACTGCAATGGAGTCCTATTCTCAAGCACATCAAAGCCTCCATTCCATAGTTCCTATGACAGCAAAAGGCTTTTGGCCGGCCTCCAAACGGAGGGACAATTTGGGTGTTTTTTTATTACTTCCAAGTCCAGCAAACTCTCTGCATCGTGTTCCCTTTGCATTCCTGCCATCTGGGAGTCAGTGCATTAATATTGTATCAGTGAGGTTTAGCGGTGCATCCATACTGCCCGGCATTTGCAGTCATATTGGTTTCAAGTACAGTTCAGCATCAATGTCTCGGTCATAATCCACTGCGCTACACTGCTGCATAATCTTCATTCATTCCGTGAAAAGTTATTTGGAAGCCCCGTTTTAAAACAGACTGCATCTGAAGGCAAGTTCCCGTATCGATCCCTTCCCAAGGGACAGCCCTGCTTGTTTGTTGCGGCAAAAGCAATAGAGCCTCCGGGCCTCCTGAAGACGAACAGGTTTATTGTGCCATGTGCTCTCATGGGACCTGGTCCACGAAAGCTGATGCCACAATGAATCTATCAGCCGTAAGGCACCACAAGACTCTTTGCTGAAGATCCCAGTATGATGAGTTTAGGAAGGATTATGTGTTGAGGGCGTTACATCCGTCCTTGAAAGAAAAGAGGGCTCGTACAAATATTTTTACTCAGGCATCAGCTGTGTTTACATGAAACATCATGCTCAGCGAACTATGAAGGAAAGTGCGAGCCAAACTGGGCATTTCCTACTGACGAGAAACAGGGCTGCTTGCAGAAATACCCCTTACATAGCTTCATTCTGCATCGCAAGACCTACCAGCGAGGACCATGATCCCAGCTGCAAAAGAGTCTAGATTCTTGGTAGTTCATTCAACATGGCAAACAGAATACCATTTACCCCACAGGAGATTTCATAGGTCAGTGGTAGGTGGACAGCACAGAGGGGGGGTGGGGGGGGAGACGGAGAGAGATCATGGGCAGAGAAGAAAGTGCGGCTTGCGTCTGGCACATCCTGAAACTGAGAATGTGGTTGTGCTTTGAACCAGCCGTAATAGTGTTGCCGACTTCCTCTCAAGGCTCCCAAAGGCATTAGATGTTATTTAAAAAAAACGGAAGATGGTGTGGTTGGAGCCTGTGTCTTGATTTGAATGGGTGCATGGAAATTGGCCCACGAGTGTGAGGCCAGGATCTGGGAGACCAGGTTCAAATCCCCTGTCCGCCGTGGAAGCTTACCGACTGACCTTGGGTCAGGTACACCCACTCACCCTATCACAGCTCACAGGGTGGTCGTGAGGACAGAAGTAGAGGAGAGGAGGATGCTGTAAGCTGCTTTGGGTCCCCAGTAGGGAGAAAGGTGGGGCATCAATGAAGTCGATAAATACGATGAGCTTTTTTGCATGCAGGTTTAGTTTGTAGTTTGGAGAGCTAATTTTCAAACTTGCATTTTGGCTTCAGTAACTTTCCAAAAGTGGCACTGAATATCTATATCCTACCAGTGTGTGTGCACCTGGAAGTCACGTTGACCTCTGGTGACTGACCCCTACTGGCAGCCTGGAGGATATTCAGAGAGGTGGCTGAATAAAGCCTGCCCCCGCCTCTCACCTCTGGTATTTCAAGGCGGTCTTTCCAAGTACTTGCCAGAGTGTTTTTTTTTTAATTTTTAAATTCATTTTTAAAAATTCATTTAAAAATAATCATTAACAACAATTAACAACAAAAGCATTAAACAAGCAACAACAAGATATAAGGATCAAGTAGCCTCAAAAGTCTATTATGTAATAGTAAAAACTATTTTAACATTTTTGAACATTTAACGACCAATAATGAAGAGTATGAAGTGCTGGTAATTATGCTACCTCTGTCAGAAAAGTGAGTGTGAGGACTAGATTAGAACTGGATCTTAGATGCAGAAGACTTTTGTATGTATCTCAGAGTGTACAATAGAGAGCTAGAAGAAAAGCCAAGAAGAGTAAGTAGTACTAGTGGGAAGAAGTTCAGCTTCTGTCATGTACTGCAGTCATGGAAACCACGTGTGTACAAACCTAGAGTAGGTCATGGCCAGATCGTTGCCTTTGAAGTGAGTCGGAGATTTTGCACATACTTGCCAGAGTTGACCCTGCTTAGCTTTCGAGTTCCGGGAAAATCAGGCTTGTCTGGGCTATCCAGTTCAGGAATCTATTTGCAAGGGCTTTTTGAATTAAAAAGACACTGGCTTGGCTCAGAATACTTAGGGGAACAGGAACGTTTATGTCACTTTACATGACTATGATTTGGTTTTACACACACTCCTCCCGTCATTGTACAGAACATTCCTACCCTCACTATCAAGCACAGAGGCACATCAGTACTACATGGGATGAAGCAGACTTCCCCAAAAGTTCAAGCCACGATCAGTTTTGTTTTCCTATAACATGTCACAGAAGTCCTTGTTGTCCTTATTTTGCAACTGAGCTTGTGTTACTTCTAATATTTTAGGTTCTCCTGTAAAAATCTCCCCAATGGGATTACAGAGTTTTGACCCTACACACAGGATAAAAGACAGAGACTACATGGGCTGGATGGATTTTGGACGCCGCAGTGCTGAAGAATACGAATACTCTTCTTAAAGAGCATCAAATGATCCTTAAGAGAAATGAAAATTGTCCCATTTCTGTACAGAAAAAAAAAATTGTCATCCTTTTCAAATCAGTGTTTTAAAAACATATGTACTTGATGTAAATTTGTCTGTAAAACTATACAATGCAATATATATTATATAAACATATGCAGAATTTTCAAGGGAAAAATGATCACTTAACATTTCTTACCACTCACCTTTGACATATTACTATTATTTCACTCATCCCTTGTGGTATCTTCACAAGCAATGTTACTGGGACGTCCTTCATATTTGTTATCTGAACAATGATTTGTTAATCTGAACAACTTCCAAAGGAGTGTGTATATTTTTTTAATCGTTAAGAGCATTTGGAGGCAACCTGTCCAGGTATGACTATGGTTAGGGCAATTATCCTACAAAGAGCCTTTTCTTGGTCGTGGGGAGCAATTTGAAATGGAAGGCAATCAAGTTTCTAGCGAATAATTATAAATGCTGCACCGGCAACTAAAAATGTCACCTTTTGTTTTAGTTGTTTTCTTTTCTTATTGAAATGTGAAAATTCTGCTAAACTGATCAGTCCTGGAATAAACAGAACATTCCTTGCTTCAGGGTGAGTGACACGTTTGTTCTGGAGTGCAAGATAAACCCTTTGTAATCAGAGTATGCGGTTTCTGGGCTGTAGTTGGAACTTGTGGTGGTGGAACGGGCCATCAAGTTGCAACCAATTAATGGCAACCCCATCAGGTTTTCAAGGCAGGAGGGGAACAGAGGTGGCTTGCCATTGCCTGCCTCTGAGTAGAAACCCTGGGCTTCCTTGGTGCTCTCCCATCCCAGTACTAACCCAGGGCCAACCCTGCTTAGCTTCTGAGATCTGAGGAGATGCAACTAATATGGTTATTTAAATATAAACAGGGGTCATTTCCTGCAGGAGCGCACAGGAGCGGAGCTCCGGCAGTAAAGAGCCCAGCGAGGCGGGCACATGCAACAAGCCCCACCCCCTGCTCCCAGCAGCCCTCAGTCAGAGCAAGAAGCAGCCAGGTAAGTTGCAGAAACCCCCCCCCAGTCCAAAACAGTCCAGTGGCACCTTTAAGATCAAGTTTTATTCAGGTACAAGCTCTCCCTCTTCTGTGAGGACAGATCTGCCCATGTCCCCCCCCAATAGCTAGCAATCCAAAACAGCCCAGTAGAGCCTGAGCGGTGGGTGTTGCCTTCTGCCACACTTCCGGTGATGTCAGGGGGTGTGGCCTATACAAATGAGTTATGCTAATGAGGTCCTGCACCTCTTTTTCTATGAAATGACCCCTGAATATAAATATCACAACATGTAGGAAGCAATTCAGATGGGAAACAAGTCCAAATCCCGAGCATGTATCCGTCAGGACCCACAGCTAAACAACGAAGTATACGCTTCCAGGAAGGTTTTACTTTTATTGAAAAGCCATAGATGTGATAACATGAACACTGTTAGGAATGGTGGGATACCTGTGCGCATAATAGGATATAGGGCATTCGTATGCGCCCCCCCTAGCAATAACCAATTAGGTGTGCTCCCGCACACTGTTGGACTCTCTAACGGTGAACGGAGAAGCTTCCACGGAAGATAGACACCACATTCTCCACCAGTACAACATCAAAGATAAGTGTTACAGCTCTGAAGCAATTAAGTGCATGAGAAGGAATGCAAAGCAATTAGAAAACATCTCCACACTCATGGCAGCGTAGCTGACAGTATCATGTTACAGGCATGTTTGCCACATAGTCTTCAGTATCCCTTTAGTGATAATAATTTACATTACTGTTTATTTATATATTGCTTCTGTTTGAGAGACCAGCGATGTTTCTCAGAAAAGGACAAACTGAAAGAGGATCGTAATAGAAAAAGTTGTTCATCATTGCAGGTTACATTATGTTTAAGACAATGGAAAAGAGGAATGGGGTAAACAATATTATAAAACAATCATACTCACTTTGTGGTTCACGAAGAACCATATTCGCATTGACCATCTATCAAAATAGCCACATGGTTACTGTATGCCATATGTGCCCCCCCAAAGAAGAAGAGGAGATTGGATTTATGCCCTGCCCTTCACTCGGCGTCTCAGAGCGGCTTACAAACACAGACACCCTGTGAGGGAGGTGAGGCTTTTCCAGAACTGCTCTTTCAAGAACTGCTCTGACAGAACTATGGCTTGCCCAAGGTCATCCAGCAGCTGCAGGTGGAGGAGTGGGGAATCAAACCCGGTTCTCCCAGTCTACGCACTTAACCACAACACCAAACACAAAATAATATCGCTATTAATAATAAATATATAACAATCATCTTTTAAATGAACAAAGTACCTCTGAGCATGAAGGGCTGTCCCTCCCCACCAGTTCTGAACTTCAGCCACTCCTTGCATATCTGGAGGGGAAGCCCCCCCCCCCCGTCTCTGCCTTCCTACTCTCTCCAAAGCATGAGGCACAACAGCTAAGGGAAGAGAGTGAGATTGCCAAGGCACCCAGAGGAGAGCAAGCTGGCTGTGGAGAACAGGAGTAAAATTGCCACCACCCCACTGTGGCCAGCTTGCTCTCTTCCTGGATGGCTGCTGTGGTGGGGGTGGGGTGGGGGTTTTACCCTCTCTTCTCTGTGGCCAGGGTGCTCTCCTCACAACAGCCCCCTGGGTGCTGGGACGAGAGTACAGAGTGTGAAGAAGGGTAGGGGGTTGCTGGAGAGGATGGGGCCTTTTTACATCCATCTCTGCCCCACAGCTCAGCAAGGCTCACAGTTTACCCTCCATCTTTCTGGCCGCAGCTGTTTCAAGATACAAACCACCAGCCCACTGAGAGCTCTACTGGGCAATGGGCCTTGCCCACTTTTCTGGAATGTGTGTGTGTGTGTGGGGGGTGCCACATTGGGGAACGGCGCTCAGAAAAGCCACAAGCAGCAGCTGAGCTACTGAGAAAGTATCACAGTTGTAATGTAAAGATTACATATTACATTCAAGCAGACCGTTATGTTCAAGGAGAAAAGAGATTGAAACACACAAGTTTCCTATTGGCTGCGGGCAACTGAATTCTGGTGAAATTGGTTACTACTGTTCCTTTCTAGGACTGGCTGGTTTAGTAAAAGTCCACTTGGATGGAAGGTTAAGTTCTACAGTTCTACTGGACAGCTAATAACAGGAGAATGGAAAGACAGAAGCGACAGCCAAAAGAACATCTGTCACTACCACAGTATATTTAATGCTAAACCAGAAAAGCCCTACGCAAACAACAAGTACAGACAACAGGGCTAGGCAGAAAGGGGAGAGTGGTTTCTGCAGAAACTGTTACTTCTCAGTTAGCCTCACAACTCCCCACTCAATGGGGATATGCCCCGAAAACAGGGAGAAAGAAGACAGTGTGTGATTCTCTCCCATACTGCCATAGAACCTGGGCAACACAAGGGGAGAACACAGTTCTCTCTGCAGTCTTCAGCACGGGAGGTAAGTAAGTACCTTTGCTTCCCTTATAGCTGAAAGAGACAAATTAAGGGGAGGGACGAAGGAAATGTTCTCCCCTTTCACAACCCTGGGCAGTTTGCCAATCCAGGAACAGACTCCCAGCTTTGCAGGCGTTCTTGGGGCTGAGTGGGGAAGATGGGAACGTCCACCTTGGTTTTCCTGCTGCAGGAAAGACACAGGAGAACAGGTTCTATCTGGCCTCAGCTGAAACAAAGCAGGCACGCTAACCCTAGCTTTGCAGGCATTATCGGAATTGAGAGGGGGTGCTGGTGTTTCTGTCGCAGGTTGCCTCTTGTAGGCTACAAATTCTTTGTTTTATAACACCAGGTGATTTACCTAATGTTCAAGGATCATTTAATATAGATTATTTACTTACGATTTTGTTTATGGCCCTCCTGTCTTGCTTTGGCTCAAAAACAGATGACACAGTTGAGAGTCCACTGTTGCTACTTTACTTTGTCACCTTGCTTTGTTGGCTTTTATTTTTAAATGGTGTGAAACCTTCTAAAATGGCATAAGTAACAGATACAACAGGACACAGCATTCAGTCCTTGTGCCTAACAGTTGACCATGCTCTTGGATACAATATCTGTTTGAATAACTACTCATGTATACTTCAGCTATCTCAATTCAGGGGCTGCATCCACAACAAACCCTTGGTTATCACAAGGAAATTAAACGTTTGAGTTCTGGGAGTTGTATTCAACTCACTGTCTCACGCGGCTTTCCCCATGCATCATCTTTATGCTTTTTTAAAAAAGAAAACCCTCCATACGACCATCCAGTAAACCAAGCATACACCATCATGCTTAGGAAGGAAGGTAGAAACATCTGTTTTAACATCATGGAGGACATGGAATGCCTACCGGGGATGTCTGGTTGTGGATGTGGTTGTCATCTCTCTGAGATTCCGGAATGGATGAATTGTAGTTTGAGCACTTTAATGTATTGAGAGGGTTTTAAATTGTATAATATGTTTTAAATGTACTAAATTATTTGATGTTTTTACTAGCAAGATTTCTTGCCATGTAAGCCGCCCTGAGCCCTACGGGGGAGGGCGGGATATAAATTTAATAAATAAATAAATAAATGCCACCAACCACATGGATGTCAATCCACCCCACAGTCCAACAGCTACAAAAGAGGAGGAAACCCAGGCTCACGTTGGAGGAGGCAACCCACAGAAAGCACTCAGAGGTTCTCCTTGTCTAGCAACAACACTTTTTTGAATGACACAGAGTCTGATCAAGAATATCACCCATGAGATTCCTATTACAGGTCAGTTTGCTGCTGCCTTACAGGTATGAGGATGAGGGGAAACCTGCCTAGCTGAAGGGTGAATTTTAATCAAGGGTGATCGGATGCAACGGGAACACTGACTTCCTGCAGTTCAGAAGGTAGAGTTCAGTCTCCCTCCCAGTTCTGCAGGATAAGCTGCAGCGTCCAAAACTCAACTGCTTTAATACAGAGGAGCTCTGCCCAGGTTTGCATCTCCCCACTTCCTTTGAGCATGCTGCTGCTGCTGCTGCTGCAGAATACAAGTAGTCGGCACCACAAATTTTACCGGACAAACTGACTCCTGAAAAAGCAGGACCCCTCAGGCAAAACTGCTCCATCGGAGCAGGGAGTTCTCTACGCCACCTGCTGGACAATGTTTGCCTGAACAAAAGGGCCCCCTGGTTTGGAACACTTTCTTACCATGCATGCCGGGCTGCACTCTGAAGAGCCCCACGTCTGCCCTCTCCATCACAGCTCTTTGCCAGGTTAATTTATGCAGCATGGAAACAGGAGGCAGAAATGATGATACCCAGGTTGCCCCACAGTGGCTATCCGTCTCATTCTCCCCACATTGGATTTAATTTAATTTACATTTAAAATGTCTTTTAATAAAGATATACAGATTTCATCTTTTCTGAGCTTACTGCAGTTTACAAGGGTCCATACTGTGCTCAGTGAAGCAATACAAAACAGCAATACACTACACACTTAACACACACTAGAAAACTCAGTATGAGCAAAAGAAGACAAGCAAAAGCTAACCCAGAAATAAATATCTACAGCCTTTGCAAAAGGCAAAGGGAGATGATGTTCGCTGTCCACTTTGGAGAGGC